GTTTGGTGTGACGGGGATTCGAACCCGCGACCCTCAGATTACGAGTCGAGCGCCGTAACCACCTGGCCATGCTGGGCCATGTACAACTAATGGTTAGATGAAGTTAGCAAATGGATCAACAGTGCCAGTAGTGATTGGAGTATGTTACAAATATCAGGAGATGCCAACAAATTACAATATGCCAATAGGAGAAGGCTATGTTGGGGACAAGAAAGTGAAAGTCCTACGAGACACTGGATGTAGTAGTGGAGCAGTGAGAACCAGTATAGTATCTGATAACGAGATGACAAGCAAGATGTGCCTTTGGGTACTAATTGATGAGACAGTGCAAAGTTTCCCATAGCAAAATTATTATGTAGGAAACCTTGAAGCCATGTGTCAATGCATCAATATATGAGTTGGTGATTGGAAACATGTCAGGTAATATATATTTGGATTAACTAGACAGAAATAAGAGTGATGTGGCATTTTCAGTCACCACTATAGCTCAAGGGAAGAAGATAAAACAAGAAATCAAGCCCTTACAAGTACCAAGGACATCCTAAATGTAGGTTTATGGGAATGGAACTCAGAAGAAAGACTCTTCTCTGCAGAAACTTCGAGACGTTAACTGAGGGAAAATCATGCACAATACAAAATGGAAAGAGACTTACAAAACAGAAGACCATAGAGGAGTATTGAACTGGACCTATCAAAGCAGTTTTAATGGTGAAGCTAAACACATCAAAGACAGTAAGAAGTACTTATATAACAAGAAGGTCAAGGATCAACATTTTAAGGTTGGACAGAAGGTCTTTTTTCTGCTACCCACAGTCTCAAACAGTGAAAAGGACTTTTTTTGTACAGGAAGTAGTCAACAGAATGCACTAAAAGGTGAAAGTGGATGGAACGACCAAGGTCTACCATGCCAATCTGTCGAAGAGGTACTTCGTGTGGGAAGAAGACCTCATGAGTGCAGCTATTGAGGTACAAATGGATATGGCAGGCGTGGCTGTCATAGAAGCAGAATCTGAAGACAGTGACTTCGTTTCAGAAGATAAAGACCTACTAGACCCAAAACCACTGGGTGGAGCTGAGATGTACAAGGATGTCAACATAAGTGAAGAACAGACTTGCAAGAAGAAGAAAGAGGTTAAACATCTACTGTGCCAGTATACATATATATCAGGAAAGACGCATCTCAGGCAACACAAGATCAAGATGAAGACAAGGGATTCTGTCAAGGTGAAACCCTATTGGAGGTCCCACTTTGCATTTTGCGTTTTTTTATCATTACTTCGTCCCCTGTTGATTAATCTTCACCAAATTTGACGTGAAGGTTTGTTGGGTCCATGCAGAGATACATGAAAATTTGGTGTTTCACTTTTTGTGTTTTGCAGTTTTTACAATTACTTTACCACTTGCACAGCTATGGATGGATCTAAAAACTGTGTTTCAAAATGCCCTAAAATAGAAGAAAAAGATCTTATGCAGAGCAAAGAAGAAAAATCCTCAAAGAAAGAGAGACAAAATGAGACAGAAAAAAAGAGCATCTAGGTTGGAAATTAATAGAAAAAGAAACGCTACTCAAAGATCACAAGAAAATGAAGAAGAAAGTGAATCAAGGCTAGAGACATTGAGTATTCAGAGTTTAAGAAAATGAAAAAAGAAAATTTGTTTGTAATTCAACACAAAGCTACAAAATGGGCTATCTGTGCTCTACCAACCGCAGATATCGAAACCCGGTTTTAAGCTTTTAAAGTCTGTACACATAGCGCTGTGCCACTGTGGGGGTGAACAAGAAAGAACATCTAGAGAAGAAAGAGATAGAGAAAGATTCAAATTTAAAAACAGAAAGACAAATACAGCCAAAATCCTTACATTTAGCAGTTTTTTCATATGATCCAAATTATGATTATAAAAAAGTGACCCAGTTTTAGGCATTGGAAGAATTGTGCTAAATGTGGAGCTCAAAAGTGGAAAGGAGAAACAAAACGAATGTGTTGTTCTGATGGTAAGGTCAAACTTCTATTGTTAGTGCATCACCAGAGCCTTTTAAAACTTTGTTAGAAAAAATTCAAGTGATTTTAAGCAATTCTTTGAACACATTAGAAAATACAATGGCTGCTTTCAAATGACTTCATTTGGAACAACTAAGCAAATTAGAGAAGAATTTAACATAACATCATTTAAAATTTAAGGTCAGGATTTACAACCAAATTGGTTCATTACGGCCATTACCAAATGAAAATCCAAAATCTCTACAAATTTATTTCATTGAAAGTAGTGTTGCGTATTTGCTTGTTTGTTAATTTCCGGTAGAAATTATTTCAGAGAAACTTCAGTGATACAAGTCCTTTCTTGGTTAAACCAGTTTATTCTTCCTCGATACAAACTTTTAGCACACAGTAATTTCACAATCTCGATAATAAAACACACACTAGCTCGAAACAGAATCATAAATAACCCGGGACTCCGTTCATTCAATCATCCCGCAGGTTTTCTCTGCCAGGCTTATATATATTAAAAAAGAGAGCGTCTCGAACGCACTAGGAAATTTATGATCATTCGAGAAATTTTACGTACGCTACCAGCGCCAAACGCGCCAGCAGCGTCACGTGACTTCCGCTGTTGTAACAGTAGGAAAGAATAAGCTAGGCACAGATAAAACAATATACCTGGACCAAACCATGAAATAATTATTGATCTTCGAGACATGCTTCATCAATACAACCCTTACATACAAAATTTCAAATTTGCTATGGAAAATTAACATCTGAACAAAGAATTGTTATTCATGCTGAAAAAGTTGCCCATGGTAAGCGTAAAAGAAGGTTTAATGGTCTTGTTGTTTTTCAGTTTTGATGGTGGGAGAAGCTGGCACAAGGGATATCATACTTGAGCATAGAAGCAATACTTTACGAACCTGATGATGACAAAACCTTGTCGAAACGTTGTACATTTGCTGTTATATTAAAGTATTTCTTCATTACCCATTCAAGCCGTCTCCAGCCATTATTAGTCTCAAAGTGGGTTCCTCGTCATCGAATTTGAATACAACCATTATTACTTTACGATGTGTTTGCGAGACAAACAGAGCATACGATTTTCTTCAATATCCTTTAATACATTGCAAAGGGGAAGATGATTATGACTTTGCAAATAGACAAATTAATCATTTAACTGGATTACCCATGGTAAGTAAGAAAGTATCTTCTGAGAAGTTTTATAGTTTTGTGATTATGGTGAGACATAATGAGTTCAACCTCATTCTCAGATCACAAGATTTGTTACACCAGCATATCGTTGATATGTATGCAAAGATCAAAGGTGAAAGATTATGACTTATAAAAAAACAAGCAAAGGAAATTAAAAGTTGAACATTACATTCATCTTCAAGATGGAATTAGAACAGATGGAAATGTAAATAATGTTGGTCAAATTATTATTATTCTTTCAAGCTTTCCTAATGGTCTAAGATATATGCATGAAAGAACGCAAGAAGCCTTGTGTTATGTGAGATTATTTGGAAAACCAGGTCGTTTTATAACTTTTTACATGCAATCGAAAGTGGATTGAAATTGCTCAAGAACTACTCCCTAATCAGGTATGTCATTAGGTATCTGATCTCATTACAAGAGTTTTTAGATTAAAAGGAAAGAAATTGATAGAATTGGTCATGAAACATGAGGTCGTTGGAAAATTAAAACGTTACATGTATACAATTGAATGACAGAAAATAGATGTCCCACATGCTCACATTTATTATTTGGTTGTATGAAAAAAGTAGACCCAATCAAATTGATAGCATCATTTGTGCAGAAATTCTGGATAAAAATGAAGATCTAGATCTCTATGACATTGTTACAAAACAAATGGTCCATAGTCCATGTGGACAACTCAATATGAATTCACCCTGTATAAAGGATGGAAAGTGAACCGAGAGCTATCCTTAGAAATTTATAAAAGAAACTGAAACCGACATAGATGGTTATCTACTATACAGAA